CACCCTTTAAAAAAAAAAAAAAATGAGGCAACAACAGCAAATATATTTTTATGCATACTGAATTTTCAATTAATTTCTTTTTGAAAAAGACACGGCATGAGTTGTAAAACAACTATAATATTGCAACTTGAGGATGCTTAATTTAAACTAATCATTCCACTCACCTTGATAACATCAGCTTTGTCCTAAATGCTCATAATCTGCTCCTTTGCGTACTCTGCAAACGGCCAAAGTGGCATCCGGAGGTTAGGCCGAGCTTACTGACGAACGAGGACTTAACGCCCAGCCACAGCTATGTCGACGTTGGCATTTTTTTTTCAATATCTCCATCATGACCAAGAATTCAGCGGAGGACAGAGAGATGTGGCCGGTACAGTGGTGGTAGAGTTGTTTTTCGGGGAATTATTTTAAAAATAACTATATGTAATAATATAATTTCTGATACGGAGGATCATCCACAAGATGCAACCGTAGAGCATACTTTTTTTCATATTACAAATCAAACTAAAAAGATAGAGTTATAAAACTAGAGAAAAAGAGAAAATAGAGAAAATGTTGTATTTTCATTATAACTGAAACTCCTATTTATAAGAAAACTTATGATGGCACAATCGTAATAATACAATTACATCAGGGGCAAAATAATCATTCACATATAATATTTTAAACCTCACGATGTGCATGAACCTATATTATAACTAACAATAAATATTACAAAATTATCGTTCGCGGGTGAAACTGACAGCCTTTTCCTATAAAAAAACCCATTTCCCTTCGAGCACTTGCATCCATCCAACTCAAGAAAATTGCCATATTCATAATTCTCAACTCTTAAAAGAATATAAAAAATTAAAAATTAAAAAATGAATGCAGGAGATGTAGAGTTGATCTCCAAATCCATCCTGAAGCCATCCTCTCCAACTCCCCAAACCCACAAAACCCTTAAACTCTCATTCTTCGACCAATTAGTCCCGCCGTTTTACGTCCCCATCATCTTCTTCTACCCGGCCCCGACCAAAACCTCGGATGCCGCCCATATCTCCCATCGCCTGAAACAATCCTTCTCCCACGCCCTCTCTCTATTCCCCGCACTCGCCGGAAAAATCGACCCTGAAAACCCCGCCGCCGTCCAATGCTCCGACGCCGGCGCCCGATTCACAGAGACCCGAGTCCACGCCCGCTTATCAGACGCCATCAAAGACCCGAAAATGGAAAATCTCATCAAATACCTCCCAGCAAACCCCCACAGCGCCATTCACGAGGACTCCCTGCTAGCCGTGCAGATCAATTTCTTCAACTGTGGCGGAATTGCCCTTGGAATTTGCTCTTCCCATCAAGTCACCGACGGCTCCTCTCTTGTATCATTCATCCTCTCCTGGGCCGAAATTTGCCTCCGTGGCCAGGGGCAAAACCGTAAATTCCCAGAGTTCGACCTGGCTCGTCATTTTCCGCCAAGAGACCCATCAGATCCCGGATTCTCCCAATCGATATATTTCAAGAAGGAGAATCTCGTGACCAAAAGGCTCGTTTTCGACCGCGAAAAACTGGCGGCTCTCAGAAGAGCCGCCGCCGCTGGAAAAGTCAAAGTCAACCACCCGACTCGAGTGGAGCTCGTCTCGGCTTACATCTGGAAAAACATAATAGAAATAGGCCGGGCGAAAAACATCCAGCTGTCGTCCGCGTGGCATGTCGTGAACTTGCGGCCGAGGGTTACAAGCTGCGAACTGGAAAATGTGTTCGGAAATTGTATTATGAAAAAGTATATCTATTCGGAAGGTGGAGAGCCGGAGTTTCGCCAACTGGTGGGCAAAATGGGGAATGGGCTAAGAGAAATCGATGAGGAATATGTATTAAGGGCGGGAAAAGGAGGTTATTTGGATGATTTGAGTAAATACTTTGATTTGGTGGGGAAAGGTGAAATCGAGACGTGCGGGTTTAGCAGTTGGTGTCGTTTTCCGGTTTACGATGTGGATTTCGGGTGGGGGAAGCCGGAGTGGGTCTGCCCGGCGAGCTGCCCGGAAAAGAATTTCAGTTTCATGTTTGGGGCTAAAGATGGAGAGGGGATTGAGCTGTGGAGTAATATGAGGGAATCTAGCTATATGTACCTTGAGAACAAATTTAAACTCCTTGGGAAAGAAGAGATTTGAATCGAGAGTATTGGGGTGTTATTTGTATGGGGTTTGAGTTGATTATGAATTTGGTGTGAGTAAAATTTGCAGTCCTCTGATGAAATTCGAAATTGCCCCCACAGAGTAGGATAATAAAAAGGAAAAAAAAAAAAAAAAAAAAGAATCGTCGNTAGCGAAAATGAAAAATGATTCAAAATCGGAGTTTCAAAAGGATTGCAAAACATACCGTAACTTTGATAACGTTCGGAAAAACTGAAAAAAAACTCCTACGGTCACGACACTATCTTTCGATTCAAATCAAATTCAAGAAAATCCAAGATATATTCAAAATCGAGTATTCAGAAGAGCTAATTTTCCTGGCCTAGCCCGAAAGAATAAGTTTTCCTAAGCAACAAACAAAAGCAATGTGCTTCCATTGTCAAATAGTTCAAAAGTACTGAATATCTATCTCTAAGGGTAAATGTAAAGACTGCTTAAAATCTCGGAGGAGCTAGCATGAGAACCCCGTTGAGATTGTTGGCCCCTTTCTTCTATTTCTTCCTCTCCCTTTTCCTTTCTGTAGCTAACTCTATGAATACTGTCATTATCAATGATTACTGAAGACAGCTCCTGAACTTGATGATTGTTGTTGTCAATGTTTTCTGGTATTATCTGTTGTGCCCTTTTTACTTCCTTTCCCTTTCCCCACAGTACCATGTACAGTCCAAGTATGATCAAAATGCTACCGAATACCCTGAAAAATTGAACTATCATAAAAAAACAGGAAACCATCTAATAACTAAATCTATATACACAAGGCACATTATAGATAAGCTATTTCTCTTCCAAAACTGCAGATACTCTCCAAAAATACCAAGATTACTGAAATGTAATTAATCGGGACACTTACATTCCTAGGTAAAGCTTCTCTTCCAAAAATAAGACCCCTGCAATGGCCACCATCACAAGCATTAACGGGTTAAATGTGGACACAAAAAGCGGGCCCCGCATTCGTATGCACCATGCGACTAAGGTGAACATTAGCCCGGCACCCAAAACTCCCTGTCATCGTCACACTAATTAAACATGGGACAAAACATTGACTACAAAATATTATTATTCATTAAAAGAGGATTTCTTTGTAAAGAACTTAACCGCAACAACTACTGCAAGAAGCCTGATATTCCAGCCCAAGGCCCATTGGGCCCAATCCCTCTCTGTTCCCAATGCATATGCTGTGCTCTGAATCGAACCCCACAAGTTTATCATTGCCGTGAATGAGTAAGGGCACGGATATTTCTCGGCCGCCTTTGCCTGTTTCAATCAATTTCGAGCCATTGTAATATATTGATGTGCATAATTATAACTAGTTTGTCTTCACTATTGAAAAAACAAGATTATTTTTTACTAGCAACTCCTTGCAGCTGACATTTTCTTAACAAATAATTGATTAAAACAGAAAATTTTATTTAATCAGAGAAAATTGTAAACAAATCAGGTAACCTGAATGATCAACCAGAGAGAATAGCAAACACAACTACCCAGGGCTAAAAGTAAGCCCAAGATGAGATTGTGGGCCCCTTGTGGATTATGGGCTGGCCCATTTGCTACTGGGTGACGAGTCGAGGTTGTCTGGAGCAAGTTAATTCCTGTACTGCCTATGTTTAAATCCGGGCCTTTGTAAAAAGTGAAGAGCATTGCCCCACCTATTCCTAATAAAGTCCCGAGCACTTTTGCTTTCCCGGCCGATGTACTCCATCCCACCCTCTCTATCCTTTCATTTTTTATTTTTTTTGCAGAATTTAATTACACTTGTTATTATATGATGATAATGCAATGTGAGACATATGTATTAGAATTTTTATTTAATTACCTTAAGCTAGCGGCGATGATAAAAGTAACGGCTGGAATGAGGTTGGCCATGGCAGATGCAAATGTTGCAGAAGTCAGAACAAGACTTTTCAAGTATAGATTTTGCCCAAGTGATCCCCTGTATTTTTTGAAAAACTCTGATCAATTTTCACAAAAGGAAAAAGAAAAAAAAAATTAACCTGTATCGGCTAACCATCAATACAATACCCGAAAAAAGATTTCTTATGAATACAAAAGAAAATGAAAATGTGTTTATTAATGGTGTGAGTTTTTGTCACTTTGCTTATTATTTTATCTTTTTTCCAGATAGCAACTTCTAGAAACAAATGCAAGAAAAAAGCAACTGAGCATCACGTAAAAAGTAAATTCAAAAGGCAAATACAGTTATACAGGTAAAGTCTATGATAGAGATAGATGCTTGCACAATCATGCATGTGATTCGATAACATCCAATTCCCAAATACCAAATACTAATTGTTTAATTAGAGAAAAGAGATTTAACGTGTGTGTGTGTGTGTGTGTGTGTGTGTGTGAAACTAACCCCAGTAAACCGCAGAGAAATCCGTACAAGACTATCTTCCACGTCAGCTTTGGCCTTTTCTTCCTGAAACAAAAAAATATGAACAAACATAATCAATCAGATGAATTAAAATCAAATTGGGAATGCAATTACATACATATAATAAGATGCAAATCAACCAAATTAACAATTTGACCAATTCAAAATCCCTTAAAGCGTTCCATGCACAACATGAAATAAAACCCCCCAAAAAATAGAAAACTCAAGATTTCTCTAATTTTCATTCAAAAAAAAAAATCGTGAAAAATCAAATCTTTATCATTTTCCATTTTTGCAACCAAGAATTAAATAATGAACCTTTCAACGACAATCGCGATTGGCAAAATAGAAGCGGCACCAAAGATCAATCTGTAGGCGATCAAGATGGAGAGGGACATCCCATCATTTGCAGCCAATTTGTAGCCGATGTTGACAAGGGACAATATTGTCTGCACCAAAATCATTATTAGGGTTGGCTTCAACCCATGTATCGTGTTGCTTAACGTTGCCCAAGATGACATTTTTCTTCCTCCTCCTTTATTTTTTTTCTTTATTCTTTTTCAGAAATTTACTCCCTCAACAATTTTCGAAATGGGTTTTTTTCAGACTTATCAAAACCCTCGGAAAAAAAAACAAGAATTTAAGAGAGAGAGAGAGAGAAAGAGAGAGATTTATGGCGAGAAAACAACAAGGGTTTTGAATTTCGAAAATATGGGCCTTGTTGCTTGCTTGCCTTGCCAAAAATTATGAGGCGGAATCCAAGACGAGGTATGAAATTATGAAAACGGCAATATATCAGAAAATCTGGGTAGGTGCATGCGGCGTATTAATATATAAAGACAAGAAGTGATGGGAGAGATAGAGAGAGAAAGGCAGGTGGTTTAGGGTTGGTATTTGGTGCTGCGATTGGTCTAATGTGAAGTTAGGGGAATATATAGAGATACCAGTCGGTCTTGAGAAAACGAATTCCACATGATATAAATATATCATTTTCACCCATATATTAATTGAGGTGTAAAATTTAAAGATTTTTTTAGGATTTGTACATTTTAGGTGTATTTAAATATTTAATTAAGAATTTTAATGATTTTTTGAAATTTTTAAAAATCTAGAGGTGTTCAATTTGGATTTTTTAAAATCCCATAATATTACAAAGTATTTATATTTCCTTTTTAATTCTATGGAATTTATCATTTGTTTGGATTTAGAGAGATTTCAATGCGAAAGTATATATATCAAATCTCATTACATATCCCACCAGTAGATAAGAGATTTTGAGACTATTCAACTCGAGGAGAGGGTTCTACTTTGAAGCAAATATTGCCTCCTTCAACCCTCACTAGTACGGATCTCTTCGAGTGAAAGATATTCATTAATATTTATGGTAGCCCTGAAGTAACTGTCCTTGTGCCCTTTCATGGCATTGAGGTTGTTGTTGGAGCATCGACTGCTGTTTGGAAAGATGTTGTCGTGATGACCCAGGCAGAGCTCGTCTATCCACTTCCTGCGCCCGACCTATAGCTTCAGCGATATTCCTGTCTAACTTTGCTCTGGTCATATGAATAACTTGATCCTCCCTAGGCATTGGAGGAGTTTGGTCATTCCTTAGCGGTGGTTGATCTTCCCTTAGTTGGTCTTGCCTTTCCAAAATAATCATCTGTCTAACCTCTTGGTGGTTCTCTAGTTCTTGAGGTCCACCAGATCCCACGTTGGCTTGTCTGTCTAACCCCTCGTTAGCTTGAGGGACAACTTGATTTTTCATTTTCACCATGGTCGACCTGATTCCTAGGGACTGTCCTCGTCCTTCTTGCCCCTGCGAAGGCTCCACAGGAGTTCCTGATAAAGGTGTCAGTGTCGTGCCAGGCGCCGGCAACGTCTCTTTGGGAGTGAAATGAGCCCATAGCGACCATCCTGGTGGTGGGCCTACTCCTAATGCCCTCTTTGTCTACTCTTCGTCCATATCTCTTGTCAGGTTCTTCTTGGTTTTCTCTTCTATCATGATGGAATTTTTGTGAGAAAAAACTCAGTCTATTTTAGCTGGTAATTAAAAAACTGTGTTCGTCCCCACAAACGGCGCCAATTTATTGTGCAAATTGTCCTTCAACTTGGTTTGAATCGCAATCTGCTGATCGAAACCGCCTTGACGCTTCTAATGACCTGCAAAACGTCAGGAGGGTTCCCGGCGGAAAACACTCCGACGCCCAAGTCAGTTCACGTTCAACAGTAATGTAGTAATGAGGTATTTTTGCGCGTGTATGTGTGTTGTGTAAAGTAGTGACATGTATACTTTTTATAGTTAGGGTTTCACGTTAGCCCCAAGACCCCTAATAAAGAAAGAAGTCTTCCTACACCCTCCTCTTAAACAAACTAAATCTTCTTCGAATCTTTAGAGTCTTGCACGACACACAATTCCTTCATCTAAGATGTTCAGTTCTTCTCTTTCGTACATCTCGAACCCGAGGCCACTCCTAAGCCTTCAAGCCCAGCCTTACAATCACAGGGATGCCGAGGTCATCTTAGTGACCGTCCTTGATACGACGTTCCTACGTTGACCTTGCTAAAGGCTCTTAATGAAACTTTGTGACGAGATATCCCTTAGTAATCATACGGTCTTTGCCCGTTCGACCGACTATGGGTCAAGCTTTCAAGGGTGCCCTTTATCTCTATGCCTTGACAACTGAACCTCGAGTGCCTGTCGAGCTCGACCTCTGGCTCATTTCTACGAGCCACTCCATCTTGGGCTACATCATGTGTCACGTGAAATTTAAAGCCCTGCAAGTTAATGAGACTGGAAACTTGGTGAAAAAGTAAGGGAGAAAAGAATTTACTAAGAATTGGAATTCTTAAAAAAAAATAATGTACGCTGGACAATTAGACTGAGGTAATTCCGCATGTTCTTAAATCACTGACGATTTTTTTCTCTCTCCTCCCGCGTTTTCCCCCAAATCCCACAAAACTCTTATTTCGTCCTCAATTTGGCCTCCTCTCCTGCAATGCGTCAGGCCTCCGCGGCGACTACAGGTCCGGGACCATTTGCAATTATTCAGTCGGTTCGATATATCTTGTTTCGGCGTGGCGCGTCTTCAAGGTGGCCACCACAAGGGTTAGGTGGTGTCCATCGGGCCGCTGATGATGTTGCAGCGGCGGGTGTCGTTTGCTGCTCCTCTGGTGGTGGCGGAGCTGAGGCCGGCGCGACTTTTTTCTCCCCTTTTCTCCTACTTTTGTCATGGTGTTGGGCTGGTGGATCCGTCGGCGGAGGCGGTGATAGGTCGAAAAATGTACACATTTTATATATTTGATAGTGTATTTTATACACTTAATTTATTCGCACTTTTATATTTTTCGACATATTTATTATTTGGATAGATTTATTTGCTTCGATTATTTTATATTTATTTTCAGCGCATTGGAGTAATTTTTACACGAAGCATTGGACGAAAGTTCGTGTGACCCATTCATAGGGCATTCAATATCATTTGCAGTGTTGCGGCGCATGATCGTTGTTTGTCCGTGGTCGCCGACTTGTGCTGGGGGAGAAGATGGGCGCGGGCCCCAGGTGCTGATCCGTTGGTGGTTCTCCTGGGAGGGGGGATTCTGATTTGTGGCCCGGTTCTAGCTAGCCAGTAGTTGGAGTTTGTAGATATGTGTTTGGATCGGGAATCGTTTTATTTCTCTTTGGGTGGTTGCCTTTAGATTCTCGGTTCGAGTAGTGGAGGTTTAGTGCAATTTTTCAGTTGGTGGGGAGGGCTTTATTTATGTCTAGTTATTAAGATTGTATTTTGGTTTCTTGTGGTTTTAGTATTTTTTCCTTTTTTTGTGTATTTTTTTTTTTCTAGTGTTTTGGTTCAAGTCCAGCTTTCGAGTGTTTGTTAATGAATATTTGATGTTTGAGGAAAATTTACTGATGTATAACTCAGGAATAGGGTTGTGAACTAGCTGAGCCGAACTCGGCTCGTCAAATAAACGAGCCAGAAATTGAGCTCAATTTCGACTCGTTAATGCCTTAAGCTTGAGCCGATCTCGAGGTTCAACGAGCCGAACTATAAAAAATTATATAAAAAAAATCTCTTTTCGAGCCTTATAACGATCTTTAAATGAGCTCGAGTTCGGTTCGTTAAGGCCCCGAACTCAAGCCGAACTCGAGCCTTAAGGAGCCGACCTCGAGCCGAGCTGAGTCAGACTAGTTTAATGTAACAAGAAATAATTGATATGCGTGAAAGTGATAGATATAGTATTGAGGAACCTGCAATTCACATAAAAATTCTCTTTTACTTTAATATTTACAAGATTTTATAATTTTTTAATTATAATTACTCTTAACTATTTATATATAGTTAATTTATGCTTAATTGTTTTCATTTGTTTCTAAATTTCACATTTTTTTTGTTTGACTTATTTGTAACAGATTTTTATATATCACATTTTTGTAAAGCTTTTTTGTCTATGACTTAATTTGTAAGAGATTTATATATATCACTTTTTTGTAAATGATTTCATAAATGTAGTCAATATACAACCATCTATAGTAAACAGACCAAATGGACCATTAAGAGCAAATCACCTAAAATCAAGTCCAAGTGCTTACCAAATACATTGTGGTCACCAAAAATAAAAATAAATAAATAAATAAAAATAAAAATGTTTTCAAGTTTTTTCCTTTCAATTCTATTTTGATTTTTATTTTCAATCCTTCTGAATAGGTTGTTTATATACTGCGAGTGTTCACACTAGGGGCGGTACCGTAATTAACCAACTCTTTAAGTGTGAACGCAACAAACCAAGTAATTACGGTACCGCCCCTAGTGTGAACACTCGCAGTATATGAATCAACGTAATACAACCCAAAGTATTCATCTAATCGATGTTGCTAGCATTGGCAACTATATGTGACCTGTAATAATTTCATACAACATCATAAAATTGCTCTGCTCGAACCATAAATTTTAAGACAACTCTTGTCTGAGTAACACAGCAAATGGACGAATATCGGTTTCACATCACAGCATATCTTCTTCAACATGCCAAAGCAATATTGAACTTCAATTTCTAAAATTCATTTATTCATCCAGAAACAGCCATATCTTAAAATTTCAATGCAATGAAAAAGACTTGGCATCTTAAGACCAATCGAGAAAGGCAACATTCACCTTTGATTAAACAAAATAGCACAATGGGGCAACAGTACAAAAGTCCTCATCTCTTTTATTTGAGATAAGAAAATAGCTTAGTAGCGACCTGCATGGCAAATAAGACATTCTTCAGCAATAAAAACTGTCAAGAGTTTTATGTAGGCAGAGTAATAAATAAAGGTATTTTAGAATTAGGGAATGTTGTGAGCTTACACATTTATCAACACAGCGCCAGTAATCAAAGTACTGTCCTGTACAATGCTTGTGACCAGATTCGTCGCCTTGAATTCTCTTAACACACGCCTATTATGACACACTTTAAGAATTAATTATTGTTGAAGGGAAAGAGCAGAATTCAGATACATCATAGCATAAATTCACAAAACCATCAA